AACACAACCCCTGCAAATTTCGGGAGTCAACTGTATTCCTTTCAGATGAGAAAATACGTCATATATCTTTTGGTCATTAAAAAGCAACATAGAGGGCCGGGTATTTAGCTCAGTGGTTTCGCCGCCTGCTACGCCAGCGCAAGGACCCGAGTTCAATCCCCGGTACCAAAAAAAAAAAAAGCAACATAGAGGGCTAGGGATTTAGCTCAGTGGTTTCACCGCTTGCCTCACAAGAGCAAGGTTCCAAGTTCAATCCCTGATACCAAAAAAAAAAAAAAAAAAACATAATTCTTTGTGTGTTTTTTTTTTTTTTTTTTTATAAAAAAGCAATGTAATTTCTAAAGTGAGGCTTCACATAATCCATCAAACAGCCCCGACCATTTGATGAAAAAAAAGTAAAGAATAAAATAGTTAAGGAATTTTATTTGAAAATAGCCATTAGGCATGTACTTTAATAAAACTTTTAATGGCCTTTTTATTTTTCATTTCTGAGCTCATTTTTAGTGAAATTACTTGGTGGTAAATTGAACCAGAGTCATAGCCCAGGAGACAGAACTTGCTGGTTTCTGAAATAATAAAGTTGAATCCTCTGGTGATAGAAAGTCCTGCCCAGGGCTGGCATTTCTCTTGGGGCAGCCTTGCCTGATCTGTGGTACCCCTGGGGCTGACCATGGGGGCCACACTGCCTGTCACCATCCTGGCCTTGTAGTTGTGAGGGAGGAAGCCCTGGAAAGTGGCATGACTTTCTTCTTCGTTTTTTTTTTTTTGGTACAGGGGATCGAACTCGAGACCTTGTGCTTGCAAGGCAGGCAGCAGCACCACTGAACTAAATCCCCCTGACCTTAACTTTATCTTTTTTTTTTTTTAAATTTTATCTTTTTTATTAGTACATATGTATTATATATTGATTACACTCACCTCAGGGAATTTGTATCTGCACATAATATATCCTATTTCTTCGTTTTTTCCCCATTCCCCTCCCTCCCTCCAACTCTTCTCCCCCTCTCCATTTACAAAAGCTTTGTTTCCATTTTCCCCCTTCTATTCTCTTTTTTAAAAGTCCCTTTCTCCTTCCTTCCCTTCCTCTTCTCCCCTCCCTTGTTCCCCTTCTCATTTGAACAAGTTGTTCTTCTCAATATCTACCCTCAATTTTGCTCCTTCTTTATCCTTTGGGTTTCTCACACCAGAGAAACAATGTGATATTTAAACTTCTGTGTCTGATTTATGTCATTGAAGATAATGGTTCCGAGGTGAGATTTTTCTGAAGACACACAGCCCGGAGTCACACAAGGCTTTCTGGAACTCAGACTAAATGGCAGTGATTTCCAAAGGAACCCTTTGATCAAACCCTGTTCTGTGAGGGTTTTTCCGTTTCCAGAGAGGGTTTGGGTTGATATATTCACATTGGAATGTCAAGAGCCAGTGTAGTATTGTGATTAAAAGCTTGGGCTTTGGAGTTGGGCTTCTGGGTTCAATACTTAATAGTAGCATGGCCTTATTGATGATAAGAATTTACTTTTTACTTCAATTTACTTTGCTATTAAATTGGGATAATAAATCTACTTCATACACTTGGTTTATGGATTCAATGAGATCACACCCATATATTGTTTAGCGCTGTGCTTGGCGCATAGTAAATATTCTAAGAAATTAATTTCTTCTTCTTAACACCACTGTTGTAAAATTGACCCTTTATTGAGAAACTCTGGATCACTGAATCCTTTTCTGCCTGCAAAATAACCCAGCAGTGTGCCTCTGAGGAGGATGGAGTGGAGAACAAACATGTTTGGCCTCCACCAAAGGAGTTGCTCTCTCTTTTTTTTTTGGTACCAGCGATCAAACTCAGGGCCTTGTGCTTTCAAGACATGTGCTGGCAACACTGAGCTGAATTGCTGGCCCAGGGGTTGTTCTCTTTACTGGGGGTCGTGGAGGTAGGGTCAGGGCTGGAATAAACCATCGTGCACCCTCCCTGCCATGAGCAAACCACAGGTTTTCTCTCAGGTCCCAGGTCATCGGGGCTACTGAGAAACAGTGGGATTTCTTACAAATGGCTCTCTCACTCCTATTTCCCCTAGAATTTCTGTCTTTTGCTAGAATTGGAGATGGTTTACTGGGCTACTTTAGAGGGCAGAACATTTCCAATCCTTAAAAGCCATCTTTTTGAAGAAGCGTCTCATCTGGAGACAGTGTGGAGGCCTGGTTGAATGTGTTAATTTGGGTCGCAGCCTCTTGTCCCATCAATCTCTTCTCGGGGTGTGGGGGGGAGCCCCAGAACCTACTGACAGCCAGGCAGACTCAAGTGAAAGGGCAGAGAAAGGGCTGTTTCCAGAGCTGGCTGCTCCTCTTCAGGCAGCACGATTTTCTGCCTGAGGTGGTAAAGGGCTTTGTGTCTGAATTGAAAGAGCTTATCACTAAGCTTGTGGTTGGAGGCTCAGAAACCTGTGTTGCCAGCCCTCCAACTGAGGGAGTGTGTTCTTCTTTTTTTTCTTTTTGGTACCGGGGATCGAACTCGGGTCCTTGCGCTTGCGCAGCAGGCGGTGAAACCACTGAGCTAAATCCCCGGCCCCACTGAGGGAGTGTTCTTACTTGACAGGGAGATGAGGCTTTTCTCTCACACCAGGCTTCCGATGCGTGCTGAGCCCCATGGGCAGCAGGTGGAGCCGGTGGAGAGGTTCTGGGGGCCAGGATTGAGAGGGATCTCTACCAAACACACAACTTTAGGGACGCTGTAAATACATTCTTTGGGGATTCCCACATACACTTCAAGGAGGCAAATTTTGATGTCAAGCTGTTGGAAACTGTGAGTCATGGAGACTTGGATATTAATATTGATGAGATCACATTTGTAGTCACAGACTAAGGACATTATCTCATTATCTCATCCCTAGTGGTCTTTGTTAAGTAAATAAAGTTCCAATTCCTGTTTAATGGTTAGACACAGGTGGTTTCTGTCACTGATTACAGCCCTAAACACATGACAGTTAAGGCAGTATATCACAAGTTTGTTCAAGGATTCCCACTTTGTTCTTCAGAGCTAGGATGTTATCTATAGTGGAGCTACAGATCAAAGAAGATATAACCTTCACTTTAAACAGCAGAAGCAATGGGCTAAGGCAAGTTTTTAAAGGGATACACTACCTAGTTTGCTTCCACAACTACTTTAATAGCTAATCTATTAAACTTTAAAACTTTGTCCTATCAACAGAGTTATAAAGTGGGGGAGGTATGAGCAGTGAGTGATCGGCTCAGGCTAGGACTATTTGAGGAGAACAGGTTTGACAGAGGGAGGGTTAAGAGCATAGGTAGAAAAGGCTTGTATGTAGGGGATTTCTGACCATTTGCCATTGCACTGACAGAAGTTGTGTAAATCACACAGTATGTTAAAATTGAAAGTGCCATTTTTGGGGGATGGAAACCCATTATCTAATTTATACTGAGGCCAAACCTGATTACAATAGAAAACAAGTCTTTTTGGCTTAAAGTCTGGTCCCAACAATCCGAGGGGTTTGAGTTGTGCCAGAAGGCAGCCCGGAGGCGTTGAGGGGCGGGGTTTGGATTGTTGGGCCCCCAGGTTAGAGCGGATGAGGAGGAGGCAGCCCCTGGGGAGAAAGACAAAGGGGAGAAGTGTCCTTGTCTCCTTTGACAATCTCCGAGTGAGTCTCCCAGAGGGAGAGAACGAGAGGAGGCGGGCCGATGGGACGTCTCCCAGGGGCACGGTCCTGGGCCCAGAGGCCGTGGGGGTTTCTCTGACCAAGCGCTTGGATTTCTGA